TGGTGAACGCAGGGAGCAGATATTGTATTCGGGTACTGCGATAGATTGATTGGCACTGCCCTATCACATACGGCAAATTATTAGTGCGCTTCACATATAATTCTAAAATCAAAGCATAATGCCCACTGCACATATGAAATAAAATACGGTCATTTACACATGAATTGGTACGAATTAGCAAACTATTCTACTGAAAAGATGAAAATATACATAAAGTAGTAGCCCTTGAACATTACGATGAAAGGGACACAGGAATGAAATGTGTGCAAATATTGAATCATCTGGAAGCAATCGGGAGATCATACATTGTTAAACAGAGAAAGGGTGACCACGTAACAATCGTTGCTGATGACGCTGGTCAAGCATTTTACTGAATAAAACTGGGCTTGAGTTACATTCAGCCTGTATACATGTATTCCTCGATTTACGAACATTCAGTTAACGAATTTTCACGTAAACACAATTGAAAAACTATAGACACTTTTCGATTAACGAAATCGAATTTCCGCACAGATGAAATCTCACACGGCATGCACCACATGAAACAAGAAGCATTCGGGAGGCCTGCATCATCCATCCACGAGTGCCACAGTATCCCTGCAGTGCAACAGGGAACGCTTCCACATCGCCTTTCCAGTCATTTTGGTGAGTTCCCTGAAAAGTTGAATGTCATTTTATTTTAATACATTTGTATACAATCGCAAAAATAGTTATTTATTATTTTTTTTATTGTGAAATTGTTTGCTTAGGAGTAGGGTTGGAATGACTGTCCGAAACACATCCCTAATTTTGTATTAAATTAATGGAAAAATCATTCCGATTTACGAAAATTAGTTTTACGCGTGTTTTTTGAAGAACGCATCCCTTTCGTAAATCGAGGGACACCTGAATTCAGTGGGCAGCCGTCGACACGCTCCTTATGAATAGTACAGGAGTGCGCCACCTGGTGTCTGCATCCAGAAATCTATGCTCACACAAGGACCTCACCGGGGCATCATCGCATTACCGTCGTATACGCAACAACTCTGTCACGTGAGCCCATAAAATCACTATCCTAGCCACCAATCACCCTTGGGTCACTGAAACTCGCGCATTGAAAAAAAACACCCCATAATACCTCATGACGCCCCACAAACCATCAACAGGGCCCAAGTCCATCAAGAACGTGAACAAATGTCATCTACACCAACACTACCCACCCAGATGAAGCGCTTTTACAAAGAAGCTGGTAGGGAGTGAAGCGTGTTAACAGTCACCTCAAAAAGTCGGGCGTGACGTAAGTGACTAAAGCCCAGGTTTTCTTACGATGCTCCTCAATATGCTCCTCGAGACGAATAGGACCAGTGCCAAAGCCAATATACCACTGGTGAGACAAAAACCAAACACAACCGAGAATAATCTATTTGATTACTTCAAGTAGATTAATCTCGGTACCGCCGTGGGAGAGAATCACGATTCCAACCCAGCCACCCTGACAACCCACTGTCAAGTTTGTAATGTTTTGTGAATGTATGCGACAAGCCTTCACACTGCCACTCGACAGATGTCCTCCAAGGATACGCCGGACCTGCTTGCCCAAGACACTGCCGTGGCTCTGGTGAAATAGAGGCTGCACCTGCTAATCCGACCATGACCTCTGCTTCCTGGATTCACTCTCGTACACATCAGGCAATGTGCTGCTTAGAAGCCGGATCCCCCATCTTTATCAATCCGCACAGAATATAAATCGGATCCTACTTGCGCCATGCCTTCGTCAGCCAGAGGTAAAAGGAACGTGCCCTCATTCGATTGAAGCAATGCAAGCTGGCTTCCACCGAATACCGGCAAGGATTCGGGCAAAAGGCCTGCAATCTCACGGACCCTTCTCACCGATGTAATGGCCACAAGACTGCCTCGATGGTCAGCAGCAGAACAAGTAGCTAATAGTTCATGCGACGGCCTGCAGAGCATTGAAAACTGTGCTGGTTCTAACAGCCAATGCTGCTTAATTCCCAAGCAAACCTTGCCATTATTCATGAAGGACCGATCACCATTCCTTTAAACTGCGGAAAGCCGATATGGCTGAGGCCCTCACTTTCAGGATGGCCAAAGAGAGGTCCCTCTGCCACTAAAAACACAGTCCACAATTGTTTTAATAGGATACATCAAACAAACGTCTCTCAGCACATCATACAACAAAACCCTTCCTGGTACAGTTATAAAAGCACCAGAGGATATCCACCACTTCAGAATCAAACATTGCACCTCTCATAGTGGCCCTAAATTATTGAAATCTAAACTCGCCCTTTCAACTGCCGTAAGGCAATCAAACTTAGAATCTGAATTCACTGACATCAGACGAAGAGGCCAATACTCATCCTCGAAGAGAAGCATGGGATCTGATACTCAAGGCGTCCTGCCTTAGTTTAGAGTGATGAGGATTGCTCGTGCCCCTTCCATAGTCAAGTTTCTCCAGGACCTTGGGGATCAATGAAACTTGAAGGAACATGTACCACATGGGGAAATCAAGGAATTCGTCACAAACACCCTGAAGTGGAAGAGCCAATAAACGAACTAAGATATTTTCACGTTGTCTCTTTGATGAGAACCAGTTAATTAGTGACTATTTGAACTTGGAAACAATGTGAGCAAAGGTTTTTGGATGCAGGTCCACTCACCTGGGTTTACCTTCTCCCGTCGATCAAATCTGCCATGCAATTACACTGGTCAACCAAAAAAAAGAATTTCTGGCCTGGACTTTTGCAGCTGTTTTAGACTAATTTCAGGGTGCTGATTCCAAATCTGATCTCAGATTTGCTCTATCACATCTCATTTTTATGCTATCGGCATACCCCATTTTCATTGATTTTACCCGAAATTAACACTTAACACTTATGATTGCAAGTTGTTGCGAGTCAGTGACTGCTTTAGTGTTAAAATATGGTGCTGTATGTTTAGGATAGTGCGTTTATAATATGATTTTATGTAGATATCCACATTTATTTAATATTTTTCTTCTGCAGTTTTTATTGAAAATGCAATATTTGATATCTAAAAAACCTGATGTGATAGACAAAAACTGATGCCAGATTTGGAATCAGCACCCCAAAATGACCTTAAAACCGTTGAAATACCTTATTCCAGAAAAAGTGTTGACCAGTGTTATCCACCCATACCATATACCTTGCCGGGAATCGAACGTCGTGGCTCACCACCCACCAGAGTCACCACCACTACGACCACACTGACATACTGGACAGAAACATATTTCCCTACCATCACTGCGTGGCCAACCATTGTAAAACCAACATGATGGAGCTGTGCTCCAGCATATTGATGCATGAGCTGTCCTCTGCTTGGAATCACTGGCCTTGAAGCACAACCCATTCACAATGGGCCTACTAAACTGAAAAGACCTGCATCCATTTCTATCCACACCTATTCTCAGAAAAAGGTTAAGGGTTTCCTTTTGAAATACGCATCCACGACACCAACCACCGTCTCCCATGGCCACCTGATACATTGTCTAATGTATCAATTTTTTCGAAATGTTTGGAAAAATAAGCTTTTTAGAAGTCCGAGATAAGTTAACAAAATAATGAAGGAAAAAAACTAGGGGTCATGATGCCCTTGGTAACGCAAAATAAAGTAAAAACAGGCAGGTGACATCTTGAGAACAACGAGAGATGAACAAAGCTATGGAGCGGATATCAAGATGGAGCAAAACAAGCAGAGTAAGACGTGAGATTATATCAAAGAATTTAGAAGCCACTGGTGAACAAGAATAGACTCAGAATCGGAATGGAAGAAATTGGAGGGAGGCTTTTCGCCTGCGAGCAGTGGGGAGCTACTGACTGATAACTGGTCGACCAGACACCACTTTAGTCCCCTCATTTGCAAACACACCCAAGACACCATCTCTACCAAGACGGCCTTGTGATGAGCTACCAGGTAGGTCTTCATTCGCCCACCATCTCTAGACAATAAACACGTTCCTTCGGAGTGGGCAGGTAGGAACTTGGTTGGACAGCGCATTCGTGCACCACACAAAGCTCGCGGTTACGTGACGCACTTCAACCAATCCGGGAGCGTACATGTTTAGGAGGGGCTATGCACGACAAATTACTCCCTGGTGGGCAGTGTGGAACTGTTGTTCCTACCTTTAAAACTGCTTTGCCCAGTCTGTCATCCTACTTTGGTGTCCGAAATGCCTTCCCTTGTCAAAGTGTCTTCGACAGCACCCAGGTGCATAGTCCATCCAGGTGTTATCAGACAGGTGGCCCCATGAGCACACTGGCCCTGTTTTGATCCAGACTGGCGTAGAAGGGCGTAGGGCCAAACAATCGAAGCAGTGCAGAGGGTAGTTTTTCCGATGTCACGTGATGGGGCTGTTGTGTCCCAGGGAAGCCCGTGCATATTGTACATATTTCTGGGCGCGTGCAACAGGTGACGTTTTAATCTACTCTTCATGAGAAGTGTGATGGCAGTTGTAATAAAATCTGAAATTGCCGACCTGCACTGTGTGAAGTTCATAATAATAATTGAATCTTGTAACACGCACAGTATTAGCTCACTCTCAAAGAATTACTCAGAGGCGTGAGAAACCATAGACAAGCAGGAAGGCAGCAACGTGGTTAACCGGCACCAACAATCGGCCAAGCTCGGTAGTCCTTGATATATGTTTTCAGCCGAGTGTGTACGTGTACAGATACCAATACAGAAACCAGCGCACCGACAGAAACTCCAGATGTGTTAGGGGGGAACACTTCCATATAGATGAAACAGATGGAGACGAGCCAACTAAAATATCAGATGATTTTAACTAGCCTGACACTGGAATATAATTTTATTTAAATATTATTCGTTGGGTCTTTCGGTAAAGCCACGTAGATAGGTAACAAATAACACTTGTTTTCAGTTCCATAATCAACTTAAGCATTTCTTAGCCAAAATAAGTTAATGTCATAAGGAAATTGTATCCGTAATTATACATGCAACAAATTATGCAGCTATAAGACACATCATGGAAATGCTTGTTTTATTTTAGAACAATAACAAAACCAACTGCATACAGTAGATAATTCGGCTGAAATACAGTGCAAAACTAGTTTCATGCAAAAAAATCAGCGATGAATGTAGCAGTAGCCCAGACCCTCTCACCCAGTGTATTTCCTCGAGCAATAGCTGGCGTAGTGCTGCAGACACCATGCACTCGCGCGTCACTGTGTGTTCACGCAACATCCTGAGCGCTCAATCAGGAGCAGGATTCTGCCAAGCCATCCAAATCCTTCGCTCCTTAAGCTGGAACCCACCTGTGCTGAAGCTGGATGTCAGGCACGTTGTGCCACACCACAGTTCACGTCTTATCTCACCAGACTGCATTCACTTATTTTACAAAGAGGGGATTCTCAGCCAAGTGAAGCAGAATGATTCCTATGGCTAAAGCAAATACAACACGAAGAGTGACGTGAGATCAAAACGGCTCTCTACGAGTGGTTTGCCTGCAATACAAACGAGTTGATCGTATTTCCATGCTCAACTGTTCTCACGCCGTGCACTGCAGACAAGAGACGTGGACATATTTGGATGAAAGAAATGCACTCGGTGAATGTAATAGAAGCAAAAATAAGCCTCAAAAGCATTACAGCAGACAGGCATGTATTCAGCACTGTCCTAATCAATCATAAATAAAGTTATGCAGTGCTTAGAAAAGTTATAAAATCATAAACGAAAAACAATCAATGGAAATCTATTCATTTGTTCAGGCATTCTCTTGTGCGTTTTGTTGCTATGGCACGTGAAATGTATCAATGAGCAATTGAAATTGCATATAATCTGGCAACTCTATATCAATATATTATTACATTGAGATGAATAGATACCCAACCCTAAAATATCATAAAAACAATAACATAAACTACTTTAAGCAAAATTAAATATTCCAAGCAAAGAGTTTAAGACTTTGTACCTTCATGCAAATAAACCTCAATAACCACAGCTTGAAACCATCAGATGAAAGTGAACCAATGTCCGCAAAGAAAACTGCACAGTGTAACCAATGATCTTCTGATAACGTACATGCATCACACACATGCACAAGAAGATATTCTTATGGCACTGTCAACATATGAACAATTTTGGCACCACGTCTGGCGTTGGCCATGCAAACAATGAGCACTAAAGAAAGGCCCATTGCGGCAGATGCGACAATGCTACTAAATTGGTCACCAGAGCGAACGGGGACTGCAAAGAGGCACTGCATATGCCACTTGCATCGTCAAGTAAAGCTGCCTTATAGTCGGTGTGTGCGCAATTTGAGAGACTCAGAAGAAAATTGTGGTGATGACGCAGACTAGAGTCCACCTCCGCTCCGGGCCACGGGGATGGCTTCTCTCTGCGGCTTGTGCTGCTGTTCTGCTCCCGAGAAATTCTCTGCCAGCTTCATCAGAGTGGCCAACCTGCTCTCCGACACCGAGCCCATCTTGACCGCACTCATCAGCTGTGCAATCGGGGCGGGGAGGGACACAGAGAGCTATTAAAGAGGTACAGGGCTACTAATGGCCATCAGTATTACTGAGCGTGTACGATATGTGCGATTTGTAGGTAATTACTGCACATAGACGAGTTGAATTTAATTCAAAAAAATATTAACATTAGGGAGTTGTGAATGCAATGCTCATTTCATGACAATATCATAATTAAAATGTTAAGCGGATTTCTTGTATTTGATTTAGAAATACATCCCATTGTCATTCGACTTCATATTTTTGATGATGGGAATATTACGATCTATTGAATGACATTCATAAAATGCATAAGCACAAGTGTTAATTTTTGGTAAATGCAAAAACAGATTTTTTTTATTTTGCATATATAAACCTGAATAGTATCCAGGTTTTCCTTGCATAAGAGAAATTGGTTTGCTCTGGATTCCTTGCACGATGCATACAACGGAGTAGGGAACTATGATTTATTTTTTTACTTTAACCTTTGGCCGTTTGGTGGGTTAATAAGGGGCAATCGCTCACCTGAAGGAACTCATTCAGCTCCACTTGCCCATTCTTGTTCAGATCCACTTCGTTCAAAATATCGTGCAGTGTGTTTTCATCAATCTGGTCACCGGCACTCTGAAGATGGCAATGAGAACACTTAAGCTCTCTCTCTGCCCTGAGTGACAACTCTAACAAGCACTTCTGCAGACCTCTACATCTCAACACAAAACTCATTGGAGACTTTTGTTTTATGCAGATTCTGGATGTGTAAAAAAATATTTAACCTAAAAATATTGGCAAAATTGCTGCGATTATCATCGCAACAAAAGAAAAGGTAATCAAACACAGGCCAGTCGATTACAAAGTGTATCAAATTTCATCCCCAACACAGATAATTGAAGTAAATAATTATAATTTTAAAAAAAATTCTCGTTACAAATGTCTTCAGCCATTGTTCAGATAAAGGATAAAGACACAAATGCAGTTTGTGGAGTGAAATTCAACGCGAACAAGAATGTTACATTCACGGAAATATCCACATCCAGACAGCGAGCGCAGCTCCCCAGAGCCACTATGCAGTGAATGTGTGATGTGAAAGAGGGGAGAAAACTACTCCGTGATAGGAGAGAGAGAGATATTTCATTCAGCATGTTACACAATACACCATACAACTTCTGCTGCATATTAGAACACCGCACAACCTTTGGTTCACAACTCACTCGACTCACTTCTTTCTTCACACGTGCCGATCGTAACAACGCCCCATACATAATTATGGGAAGCAATTATATTCACCGTAAATGCTTCTTCTCCATTTTTAAAGTGCTTGTAATGTTTCCTCCTATAACTGTACAGCATCTTGAGATAATGTATTTCGATGTAATACATCTTACACATTGTGTTAAAGTATCCTGTGTGGCCATGTTGCTATTATGAGAATACACATGTAATAACCAAGCCTATGAAGCAAACTCTAATCTGCCTCTGATTATGCGGGACAAAAGAATTGTGGAGATTAAAAGGGACAAATGAACTGGCGATATTAAGGCAAAGAGATTTGACAGAAATGCTCAGCCGTGTCTACAATTTGGTTATTTGCAGAGCGTATAATGAAAGCTCAACATTAGAGAAATAATTTACGCACCATTTCTATGATGTGGATGTTCACAATATTGGCCAAGAAAACGTTTTCAGGAGTGAAGCTTAAGTTACCGTTCTTGTGTACCCGGTAGAAACGTGTGACGCTGATGCATGCCTGTGGTTAAGAAGCAAATGCCACCACAATCGGACAAGGAAGATGCAATGTGGGACAACAGCACAGGGTGCACTTACTTCCAGAACTGCCTGCAAATCTACGGTGGTGATGAAGCCCTTATTTTCTTTGTCAAACTTTAAAAATCTTTTCTTGTATCTGAACGCATCACAAAGCAAATGTGAAAATACAATTTGGTAAACGCAAGCAATGGCAGCAAAATAAAACGAATAACAAAACATATTTCAAAAATAGCAGTGGTGGAAAATTATAAGCGTACAAATTAATAAAAAAAACGATAAAGCGCATTACCGGTCGATTTCAGCTGGGTTGAGGTTTATTTCGGAGGTGTCTGTCAGTTGCTCCCAGCGTGCCTTGTAACCCATCTCAGTGTAGAGAAACGTCTTGGCAGTTTCAAGCTCCTCCTGAAATTCAAATGAAGGAAGAATAACAGCAGCATCAAAATCTGAACAGAGATTTATCCTCGAGAAATCCGATGAGCTATGAAGCTCTTTTTCACAGATGTTCAGTAGGCAGGGAACAGAGAGTTACAGCAATATAACAAAAAAAACGATAGGAGTGCAACGTATAGGATAGGTAAGCAAGTACGTCGTCACATATCCGACCATCAATAATTATCTGCCCTGATCAATTAACCACCCACAACAGAGGGTGGTTTTGTGCAAGGTGTGACTGCCATTGTTTATAGATATTTATTACCAATCCGTCCTTTCCAATCACTTCTAAAGCACAGTCAAGCTCCTTGCCCACGATCTCGACGCTTTATCCTTGTCCAGTAACCTACGTGTACACAATGGTGTAAAACTGCCACTTTCGATAGGTGTTCACGTGACCTTTTCACATATTTTCACACATCTCAGTCCTCCCAGTGAATCAGCTATGCAACATATTATTGTAATTAAGTAAGAACAGTAGCACGCTAATAGATGGATGGGCTAAAAGGCTGCGCGGATGCCCTCTGCACTGGACCTCCCAACCCCCGGGGGGTCCCCCTGCCACCCCACCCCACCCTCCCCCTCCCATCCCCTCCTCCACCTGCTTGCGCTTTTCGCTCCAGTTCAGCTCCTTGCCCATGATCTCGATGACGCGCGGCAGGGCCTCGTCCGCCGCCTGCACGTTGAGGAAGGCCAGGCGCGTGCGGCGTGCGATCACGTCCGTGGCCGTGCACGCGTACTCCTGGATGGCGAACTTCACCTGCCCGGGCGTCACGTGGGGAAAACTCGCTTGAGCGTCCTCTCCGACTTCACACATTACAGAACGAGCACAACAGCACCGCACGCCCACCCCCCCCCCCCTCCATGCTAACACTACACCAGGAATATGTTTATCCTGGTTTGTGTCTTGCTCTGCGATGTGTTTTCAGGTTGTGCCGCGTGTTGTTCGGCATTATTGCCGATGTTTTGCTCCATGTGCTGGTGGGAGCTTGTTCAGGAACTGGTGGCTTTCCTCGCGATCGAGCTGGGCCATGAAATGTCTGCATCTTATTATTTACTCGTCTTCCAATGTACAACACTTAGAAGATTTTACTTGTCTTTACGGGAATTAAAAATTATCAACGTGCGTCCACATACCCAAACAAGCGTTGGGGCGGTACTCATTGCCGTTGCTTGTCCTTGGCCAGTGGTGGAAATGCCACGCTGATAAGGCAGGGAACGAGTCTGATCCTATTTCATTCGCACCTCCGATTAGCACGGTTGGTTAACGTGCGAAATAATCTAAACATACATTCATGTACCCAGAAAAGCCTCACCAAGTCTCGAGAGACTTTTTTTCAGGGGAGTCTTGGATTGGGATGCTAGGCTAATTCTGTTAATGAGTGCTCGACTTTGTGTGGGGAGGAAACTGGAGAAAACCCGAACACCCAAGAGGGTGACACTCAACACTGCCACCTCTGAGTCACCACACACTCCCCATGCCTACATCTGGTAAACCATAGTGGTCACCCATCCAAATAGTAACCATGCGACAACTTGCTTAGCGTCTGAGATCGAGAGGACAACTACTTGTTAATTTCCCCCAAAATGGCAGTCATTACATGACCCCGGACAAAATATCAACTGATTCAACTCTTACATGTGATTCAATTTCACAACCTTACAATTGTAAGACTCGTACTTTACCACTGTGTCACATAGCCAGATAATGAAATTAAAATGTAGTCGACATTTAATGTTACATTTGCAACAATAGTAAGTCAATTGAATGGCTGGAAAGATAGCTATTTCACCCTTTGATACCCGTGTTTATATGTCAGTTAATCGTATGGAATGATACATTAAGAGACAGAGGCCCATTGCCATTGGATTTTAATTAAAAAAAAACTTGGAGCAATTGAAATTCACTGTGGATAAAGCAAAATACGAGTACAGGCTTTTGTCAATCCACGGGTCTGTGCTGGTCACAAGGGTTATATGGCCATGCTTTCATTACGGTGGTCAGGGCTGTTTGGTGAAGGCAGGCAACATAGCCATGAAAGCATAGAAGTACAGTAATATGTTTATTTGTCTTCAATGCCCTCTACTACTCACCACAAAACCCCTATATGATAACCTGTTTGTGCATGGTGGTCACCCATCCATGCGCTATCCAGGCTCAAATCTGCTTAGCTTTTGAGATTTTTCAAGATTGGGTGCGGTGTGGGTGATTTGGCCACAGGTGCGCATTTAAAAAAAAACACTTCAAAGCCTTTTCAGGCTGAAAACGAAACATTACATTCTTGTATTGAGAACCCAAAGTCCATATTTCATTAATTTGAGAGTAGAAAAAAACACGAAATGCTTCCTAAAATGTTAAGCAGCCATTTGTGACCACACATACATACAATCATGTACACATCAACTTGTACATACACAGGTGAGTGCCCTGTGAGACCAAGTCTCTCTTGCAAAAGAGACAAAGCACAATACCTCAGCCTCGATGTACGGGAACTCCGAGACGAGCCTCTTTCCGACGATGGGCCACCGCTTCCCGGTCACCTTTGCCATCTTGGCGATTTGAAAAGCTTTGTCCCCATAGCTGGAGGCCAGGTGCATTGCCACCTGCACACGAGCCAGAGGCAGGACGCGTCATCGTCCGGTCTCGGCCAACGCCCGGCGCAAAAGGCGTTGTTGTTCGCACGGCGAGCTGACGACATCTGTTAAAGATCCAATCTCGTCAATTAAATTTTGATGGAGTTTTGCAAAAAAGAATTAAGACTCGGGGAAAAAAATCACGGCGCACGCTCCCCTCTGCATGGAGGTCGTTCGCACTCAGCGGACAAAGGCTGAACAGTGTTATTAATACTACTCTCCCCTCGTGAGTGTTCCCTTCCAAATCACATAGGCGGAGAGCAATCACAAGACCCGGGTACGTCAGAGCTGGGCAACCCCGAGCGTATCAATGTCAGGCGAGGAGAAGGGCAACCATGGGCGATAAACATAGCGGTGTGGGGAGAGCACGCCCGGGCGCACGAGTTTCCCCAGGAATGTACACGTATGCACCACGTGGCCTGGGTGGCGTGATTGGCAACTGATGCTAAGGCACCGCCGGTCGGATAACCATAGCGGTCGACTGTGTGCTGGCTTCAGAGGCGGAGTTGAGAAGGGGCTTCGTGGCGACTGGTCTCGTGCAGGAGTCACAAGTCACATGCCTATAAATATACGCACGTGACAGAGCGCAGCTCGGGAGATGCTCTAACTCGACAAGGTATTTTTGGAGCGCGACATTATTTATAGGAGCTGTGTTTCATATTCACATATTATCGATGGTTGCTGTGCTAATTTTATCATTTACGAAACAGGGGAGGGAAAGTACTTGTATTGTCGCACACTGCGTATAAGCCACGAGATTGTTCTCTCCGTGTGTTCAATCATCACTCTCTTTATGTACGCTGTACCTTTGGCGGCAGTGCAATTAAAACGCTACGCTAATTGCGTGCGCCATGAAAACCATTACGAAATAAATGCAATTATAGCATCATAAATACAGTGCACCAGCGATGCAACCATAATCCCATACTTAATGGCATTCTTTAAGGGGCTTTTGCATTTTATCTTTTGTTTGACAATGATTCATGCAATGATTTAATTCCACATAAACATATTTTAACATGCGAGTAGACGGATGGGTCTAGATGCTTTAAAACAAAACAGTGTACCACGTGTGTGCAAAAAAGCGACTTGAAATCACGATTTGAAATGAGCACAAATCAGGTCCAACTCTACTGTACATGAACATATGCTAAAATTGCAAGTGATTAACATGTCTGACTGACAGATGCTGTGTTTAGCAGCGGAACCATTATTAGAAGCGCAAATTTGTTACGTCTGTCATCTATAAAATCTAAATCTGGTTAACAGTGCTGTAAAATATGAGCCCGTTTTAGAGCTGCAGAGAAACGAAGCGATATGTTAAAACGTAAACAGAATTCATTAAATGTCTGCAAATTAAGTGTTATGCATTTAACCTTCTGGCGGAACATGAGTGCGGTTTGATGCATTCAACGGCAAATGTTTACTAGTGAAGACACAGCACATGCCATGGTGCTCCAACTTGGTTCACGTGTGTAACTATGACGGCACATGCGCTCAGCGGATATGGAAGAGTCCCACTTTTGCAGAGAAAAAGGCAACAAAGAATATCAGCGACAGTCATTACAATAAATCGTCGTTGTTACGCTCCAATGCCAATATCAACTCTGCAACGCATTCAGAGATTCTATACGATCAATGCCACGTCTGTGATACTCGCTTAAAACCGAGCCACGTAACACATAAGCAAATCCTTGCAGCAAGCCATCACCCTACCTCCCAGGTCATTACCACAATCAAGTCCATTAAAACTTGGCTTGTTGAACCGAAACCAAGCCTCGGTCCGTGTCAACGCAAGCTCCACACAGCTTCTTTTGTGTCAGGAGCTAACTTGTGTTGATCTGCCAGGAACTTCAAAATCGTTTCTCATCTCAAGATTTCTCAGCAGTGATAAAACAAAGGTGCTTTCCTTTGAAGAGCACCACTAACGTCAGGGCTGACGCAGACTGGATATCTCCCCAACGAACACATTCAACACCCTGCCAAGAGCTGGCAAAGCTCTCGGTGACATCGTCCAAGCATTGTGAAGTTGTTAAAATTAGCCAACAACACGTGCCGGCAAAGGCTCATTGTCAACAGCTGATAATACGGAGTCACGTCGAAAAGTTTTACGGTGCCGAACGCAAGAGGTGACCCACACATCTGAGCAAATATGTCCCCCCTCCCATTTCTATGCTGCATGCCGTTTGAGTTCAATATGACACATGCCACTGTCGCAGCAGCCTGCAGTAGGTAAACGACCCTCTTAAAGCTTCCACACCGTCTGGTCCCATGACTCCGTACTTTCATCTTTATCTCAAGCTGAAGGACAGCCTCTGAGGACATATCAAGTTATGAGGGAACGGAGCCTCAAAGAGATGTCCAGCAACAGAAAGACGAGCACCAGAAGGGATGGATTATACTGGCAAACCGAACCCAACCGGGCGGCACACGTGTGCATCCACGAGGGGGGAAATCCTTTTTTAAAAACGAACATCTAGAGGAGGTGACCGGGTGGCCCAGGGGGGATGATGATGCCTGTGTTAGAGAGTTGGGCCCGGCTACCGTGGGTTCAATTAAACCAGGTTACCAAGTGAGGCGAGTTCACTGGCTCAGCGCAGTAGGCGATGCGTGTGCACAGTAGCATGCCAATTTAATTATTCACTTAATAAGCCTGATCAATGTAAGCGTAGTCTCTTGCGTAATTTTTTTTCTTCGCACAATGGACATTCGACCGATCATTCTTAGCACAGCATGTTCTCCTAAACACGGAAGTTGCGATCTTGAAGAATACCGCGTTATGGAAAAATCGAGTTATAATAAACAATATAGGGTTAAGCAAAGTCCGCGATAATACGCGAGATGTGTATGCGGGCCGAACAAAGACTTGAGGAGCGTGTGTAGCAATCTAGAAGCATCCAGCAGCATCCCACCTTGTGATGCTACGCCAAGGCAGTCGTACGAGCACTTATTCCTACTCACGCGACGTAGTTCCGTTCACTGAATAACGTAACATCCAATTCGCGTCTGCGTTACAAAAAATGTGTTCCCTTATATATTCCTTGCGTTATGTCAAAATTCGCGTTACAAACAACACCACACGTTATAGGAGACTGTATGTGTCTAGTTTGCTGGTGACAATATTACACACAAAACAGAGAAGTGTTCTATGCTCAAATAAGCAATGGGATGGCAATCCTCTCTGCTCACATACCGGAGGTACATTAGCATAGTCGGGGTGGGGAGGGGGGGTGGAAGGCAAAGTGGTTCCAAAAGGATGACCGAGACTGACTTTGCACAAAGTGGCACTCATTTTAATAACCCCAGAGGGATAAGATCTGATATCAATGCCCATGTTATGCGAGTTTTTTTTGCAGGGGTAAATTCAATGTACATGCGTGCACCCTGTGCATTAACTCACACCTGGGATCGTCAAAGTGAAACATCATCAGTGCTAGCAGCCGTGTTCTCTCCACTGTTGGACGAGTGACTAACATTATACTTGCCACTCCACAGGGTTCCATGATGCCACGATCCATCTCACTGCCACACATTAATAGCATATGTGTGTGATGAGAGGATAATTCTGCCAATTAGTTTCATTTCCCTATTTTGAATAGGTTAATGATGAGGAATCGTTCCAGATTGAGGTACTTCTTTTCTGTCGAAAATATGAAAAGGTCCACTAAGTTTGATTCAACAGTTAGGCCTCATTCTTTCATGATATACACAGGTGTTAAGCATCTGGTTCAGAAAGGTTCCTTTTATTGATATCGAATTATTTGACAACTGGTGGCGTAAACCCACAAATATGAAAACATCATTTGAATGACGCCCCCACGGCACATGTGATGTGCTGTTTTAATTGCTTACATTAGTTGCAGAATATGCTGAAGCAGCCTGTTAATATCCTGTCAGGAGGGAACAGACTGAGCCCTGTCGCATCATCTGCCACACACCCCCTTTCCCCGCGCCCGCCCATCTCACCACCAAACATAGTCAAGAATAAGTGAGCTAACTTTAGACCATATCATGTAACGATAATACAGATCATGATGAGTTTTAGAAACACTGCTCTCGACATTTTAAATTAGCTCGTGTGCAGGTGCTAGGCGGGTTATTACATTGTAGGGCCATGAGAGATGATGGCAGGCTTGAGGAGGGCCTTCATCCAGCAGTGGATTGACCATGGCTGATGATGATTACAAAATGTATATTCTTTGGGTCTTTCGTTAAAGTCACGTAGATAGGTTCAAAGAAAATAACAAAAAAATTACGTTTCCATTGCAACGCAAGCGGTCATCATCAGGCTGATGATGACTGCGAATATGAATTCCTGCAGTCACGAAAGCTTTAAGTCAAGAATTACAAAACGTCTTTTATAAACCCAAATTTGACAATTTTCTTTCAAACAGGAAATGCTTTAAATAAATGTGGGTAATGTTGCATTGTACATTTCCATTTAAAAACCGTGAGCAGCCTGCACGTCCTCTGGACGTGTCCTCCTGTCCAGTCGAATGGATGGCCAGCCAGCCAGCAAAACTTGTCTATTATAGTATGAAGTATGATGTGGTACAATTTAATATCCCGCACATATGCGTGGGATACATGGCCGTGGTTGAGGGTCGGTAGGCGGGAGAGGTGTGATGTCAGTGCCACGCGAACATCAACCCAGCTCCATGCTGTGCGATGTGGGTGATGTGATCGAGCAGATGTGCGTGGTGACATCATCACCGCGCGCACGTGCACGTGACCACCAGCCAGGAATCCAGCCAGAAACACCTTTTTTCTAAAATTGCTTTTTGATAATCATGGACTTTTCAAAACGTTCGGTGTAAGCGAGAGGGACAAGCTGGTTCCTGAAGACATTTTAGAATATACCGTTCTCATCAGCCGCGTGAGCCCTGTTCCCCATATTTAGTGAATGTCTTCACACCGAGCAAGGGGGAGCAGCGAAGCTGTGCGCGATCGTGACAGACTGTGCGCGATCGTGACAGACTGTGCGCGATCGTGACAGACTGTGCGCGATCGTGACAGACTGTGCGCGATCGTGACAGACTGTGCGCGGTCGTGACAGACTGTGCGCGATCGTGACAGACTGTGCGCGGTCGTGACAGACTGTGCGCGATCGTGACAGACTGTGCGCGGTCGTGACAGACTGTGCGCGATCGTGACAGACTGCGCGATCGTGACAGACTGTGCGCGATCGTGACAGACTGTGCGCGGTCGTGACAGACTGCGCGATCGTGACAGACTGTGCGCGATCGTGACAGACTGTGCGCGATCGTGACAGACTGCGCGATCGTGACAGACTGTGCGCGATCGTGACAGACTGTGCGCGATCGTGACAGACTGTGCGCGATCGTGACAGACTGTGCGCGATCGTGACAGACTGTGCGCGGTCGTGACAGACTGTGCGCGATCGTGACAGACTGTGCGCGATCGTGACAGACTGTGCGCGATCGTGACAGACTGTGCGCGATCGTGACAGACTGTGCGCGATCGTGACAGACTGTGCGCGATCGTGACAGACTGTGCGCGATCGTGACAGACTGTGCGCGATCGTGACAGACTGTGCGCGATCGTGACAGACTGTGCGCGGAGGCGGTGGCGGCGGTGCGTGCCCCACCTCGCTCTCCAGCCCGTAGTCCTGCACGAGGCGGATGAAGAGGGTGGGGGTCCAGCCGTGCGCCCCCTCCAGCAGCAGCCCCACGGTGCGGCACGGCGACGTGGCCCGCAGGCCGTGCGCCGCGATCGCCGCGTTCAGAGTGTCCTCCGCCATCGAGCGGTACGTCGTCCACTTGCCACCTTCACCCGGGTGGACAGGGCTTGTGAGATACCACCTTTACCGACGGTCACCCCCCCCCCCCCCCCCTCAGGGCAGCCACTGTAAACATCCCAAGCCTTACAGGTAATATAATCCCGCTTACGCCGGTCGGGGATGGATTCCTGGAAGGTGCAACGGCGAATATCAAAACGACGTAAATCAAACGATTTACTGGGAAGCAGGTGGAGGCAAAGGCCGAGGCGACGGAAGAACGGATGATGCTGTCGGCGACGTAAGTGTGGGTTGAGGCGACGCAAATCAGGTAGCGGTGTTAATAAAGTGACGACATATTTGCGAAACGACGTAAATCGGGGTATTACTGTATGCCGAAGACTGAGAAGGACCTGCACCAGAGGGAGTTCTGGAGAGCCATTCTGAAGGGTATTTGGCTGATTCTTTCACACTGGCCGGACACCTTGGAAGGTGTGGGTAACCACACTTTATTGCATCGCATGCGACCTGCCAATCGACTGACTTATAATGGTTTATAAATAAAAGCCCAATAGTCGTAATATTTTTCCAAATTGGTTGTTTTTTTATGAATATATTTTGATGGGAACGGCAATTAAGCCAATGCAGATGTTTAGTTCCTTGTTTCTTCCAATGGATCCACTGTAAATACTGTATATGAGACTAATAGAATATGCAAAGGAATACTCAAAGAGAGGTACTATCATGAACCATGAGGGAAAAAAAATGATGAAAGTTAAATATTTAAACTGTGCCACATTGAAAAATGTTAACATGAAATTATAAAAGTAGGTCTCAGCCTTCTATATATATAAAAAAATAACATATCCAAACAAACTTTGACAAAATAAAAATGTCAAGAAGAAAGAGGGACTATCAACTGCTGCATAACGTAAACGTAGTTGCAAAGCACAGACCATTTGTTTGCAACAAAAAAAAGAGCGTTCAATGTTTAGCCTCACATTTTGCACGCGCAGTATTAACTTTTGTTCCCTTCCAGACGCCACGTACATTTTTGCACGACAGCCGTGTGTTGGTGAAATGACTGTGCGTTTTTAGTGCACCTTTTGCCATTCAGCACCCAAAATGATGCCACGTGATGATCAGTGCGAGCACAAAGTTTGCTGAGGATGGGTTTGGGAAAACAGTGAGTGAGGTGTGAGTCGCTGGAAGGCCCCGGCTCTCTGTGCACTGCTGGGTTCATTAACTCCGCTTTATTCCCTAATCCGGGCAATCTGTTCCCTATGCCCCCCAGACTCTCGTCCCATCTGGCCGCGGCGCGAGCCAGTTTGCGTGCATTCCGGATGCATTAACTACTGCCCATCTGCGGTGCAAGTGATCCAAGCGGGGCGAAAACCCTCCTCGAGAACCAACAGGGTCAAATTCCAAAAACCGATAAACGAAGTTTTTTCGTGAACAGCGTTGCACGAAAACAGACCTGGATGGCTGGCCTGCCATGCCAGCCCCAACAGGTGGAGTGCGTTTAGTGCAGTTCCTACTCCTGCGGTGAACGCATGTTATTCCATCAATTCTGACATCGGTCATTTGTAAAATCGAAGCTATTAAATCAAACAAATATTTAAATCTCATAATAATGTGTCTCTACCACAGAATGTATAACGTTCATCTCGCAATTAAATAATTAGAATAATAATTAAATTAATTCTCTTCACGAGTTAGAATTAAGGAAGCAGAGAAAAATTTGTCCAAATCATAGGTGCCCGTGTTAACTTTTAACATTTAGAATAAAATAGCTAACAATCAACACTGCCAATGTCCTGTTGGATTCCCTGCCCCTAGCTACCGCTACCGCTAGGGGCAGTGGTAAACAACAACTTTGGCGCTACCACCAAAGGACACACTGCACAAGAATCCACTACAGAATTAAACATGCAGCATATGCTTTAGTGCGATTATACGGCGGATTGTTAACATAAATCCTGATGTACTTAACAAGCCCAGTATAGCGTTCGTAGTTTGTATTTGCAACTGGTATATATTTTTTTAGCAAAAGACAAGATGACTGAAAGACAAATGCTGAAAGCTACTCCGTGATATTTGTCAATATAATGCACTTAAAAAAATTATCAAAATACCCTCGTGGAAAGTTGTAGCATCTGTGTTTATCCCACGGCTGTTTTGTTTGCAGACACTCACCGGCAATGGTGACCATGCCACTCTCGCTGATGTGCACTACGTGGTTGCGGGAGATGGACTGCGTGTCCTTTGAGTTAGGGTCTGTCACCAGAGGGCGAATCCCACTCCAGGCCGCTAAAACGTCTCCTCGACGAACTGCAAGACAAGCGCCCGGACAAGCAAAATCACTGAAGCACCCCTCACAAGACGGCTGGGGCCATTCTGAAGATCAATAGCAGTGACACCAGACACCACAAATGAGTGCTGCAACAATTTCGGACAGAAGAACAGACTGATGGTCAGCACGCTCACTGCTGATGCCATTCAAGCATGGAGGAGCCAATGAATCGAATCCTGTAATAACTGCATGCAGACGTTACCAAAGCACACAGCTCCTGTCGCACTGCGAAAACTACATCACAAAAACGCAACCCACCGTTCACAAATGTAAACCACTGTGCGCCAATGTCATAATCAAAAACCCATGTCTTAAAATCAAACCTGATAAAAAAAAGTGTATTCTTTTAATCCATAATTTCCATTGCAAAATATAAGAAACGTCAATGGGTTCCCAATGGTTAAGGTAGAGCCCTGCGAGCAATCCACTCTCAAGGGTAATATTGGCCTACTCTTCCACGTTGGTCATACATCTTCGAATAAGAAGCATGACCCAATATTTCCAGCAATACACATGACCTACCATTCGGCTCATTGTGGTGTTATGTTGCATGGACAGAGTCGGGGGAAACTTGTCCATTGTTGTCAACTGCCGTACTGGCAGTTCTGCACCAGGAGATCGAATCGTATCGGCGACCTCTGGATCGCAAGTCCAGTGCGCGGACTCATTACACACCACGGCAGCATCTTCAACGTAAAGCACACCGGTTCAAGGCATCTCGCTTATCACACAGGACAAACGGCGTCCCTTTGCCCCCCATCCCCACACCTTCCACGTCGGGGCTGAGGTAGTTCCGGACTTCGTTGAGGATGAACTGGATGTCCTCCTCGCGTGGGGAGGGCGTGTCCGTGATTTCAGTGGGCGTGTCGGTGGTTCCCGCCACCGTCGTCCTCTCCCACGGCAAGAAGAAGATGACCCGGCCATCGCTGGTAGCAGGGTCCAGCAGACCCATCTTATCTGGGCTACAGGGAAAACGTGGAGAAGGGTGCACTCGTCACCGGACGGACGTAACCAGGAAACGTTTTCACGTCGTTTCACCTACGATGTTGATTTTCGTAGTTGTGCTGTACTATTACGTGCTCTGCTCCATTCAGTTCCAGAAGAAGCTTCCAGCACACGTGGAGGGAAACGTCGGACATCGTGCCAAACAAAACACGCGATGCAACGCGGACAGACGTCAGAGCTACACTTTACCACTGAGAAAAGAAAATTGTTAATGGCTGGGCAAGTGAAATTATTTGAGTTCCGTCCTTAAGAATTCAAACTTAACAGAAGCACAATGTGTGTGCATGTTATAACAAATTTATGAAAGCAATATTAATCACCTTTGATTTGCATTATTTTCTAGAATCCTGCTCATATTTAGCAAATCAAGCAGATGCACGATGCTCCAATTGAACATTGCACTAATCATACGCATAAACATTTGATTTGCATGCAGCCATGCATTGATATTCCGGATGTAATAATTCGGCAAGTAAAAGCATAACCGTGAACACCCAATGCACAATAGAAGTGCCTCCACTTCGGCAGCACTGTATGGGCATGCAGCCACATTGTGCAAACACGGGTCCCCCTGAGATGGAATTTCAGGCTGTAACGTTAGCCCGAGCACTCTGTTGGAAACCAGCGACCTTCACAAGTCCGCTAAGAGTGCTGCAGACGTAACTGAATCGAGGGACAAAAGAAGGACAGGTCTAGCCCTATTTTAAAATCGCACTATTTTCGGGTTATTTTTGTTTTCCTTTACCTGTAATAGCCGGGCATTATTATATGGACACCAGCACTTGGCTGACAAATTTTCGGGGTATCTTTGTTATCCATCTGGCGCAGTATGTCTGTGAAAGGACCCGTTGCATTGATAACGCACTTGGCGCGAACATCAAATTCTTTTCCTGCAACAACAAAAAAACGTACAAAAACATTTACAAAAAATTCTGATAATTAAAAGATTATACCACGCAAATTTTTATTTGTATTATAACACTGCAAAAAGTAATCACTCGTTAAAAATTATGACACTGTATTTTCCACACCCCACTTAATACTCGTTAAAATTATACACTAAACGAATTTGGAATTCAATGAGCAGTCTTGCCCCAGCCCGTGGTGCACAGGGAATGACTCCAATTTCTGACACTATAGTTCCACCTGCGATTGCTGATCACCATGAACCTCTTGAATAACATTGAGCGTTTGGTCTGATATTCACAAAGTCAAGGCAAGCAGCGTGGACCACAACTAGGTATATTAATGATGCTTTATTCATCAATTAAAGTCAATTCTTACTCTTACAATACATGCATCGAATTTTATGCATGAGATTTGATTTACGACTTTAGCCCATGATATGCAAATTATATGTTACATTTAACATAATGGGATGCATAAGGCTACAAAATAAATAGAAACAAAAATCATAAACAATACAAATGAGAGTAAAAAGAGAATAGTGGCGATTTAATCAATCACTGGGTAGGTGATTTAATAAATTAACATGCCGAATACATATGGAAGCATACACATTTATATCTGTTAAGTGGCATGAATCTTGCAGAAATGAACCATGTCTCTTCTGCGGGTAGTTGGTTATGATATGCCCCCTCTACAGGAATGACCCTACCTGAACCCACCATAGGGCTCTGCCTTTCCAACCTGCCTGGCCTGCCCTTGGATGGTGACTTTGGCAAATTCCTGCCAAAACTTTTCCTTGCATGCCCAAGTGAGCATTCCCACTAACCACAACTCCTCGTGTCCACAATTTAGGGGGGTTTTGGGCTTCCACTAATGCTAATTGCAAACATGGGTATTTCTCCCGTTCGTCCATGTGAGCAGAACACGAGTGTTACTGGACTGAGACAGGGAAGCCAGCACGGCACTCAATGCTCATTATCAGTCGAGTGCTAATATGTGGCTTGCTTCTGTGGGTGTATCTTTCTGCATCTTTTACGTTTCCTGGCATTAACAGCAAGCAAATCGTCAGCACAAGTGGTGAGAAGAAAAATGAGCCACACACGAAGCAGCCAAAAAATCCACCGCGTCACGTACATGCAATGAGTATTATCAGATTACCAAGCAGTATCTTTTATATATTTGAATGCCAATGACGAGGGCAAGAATTGATGTCATCCACGAGATGGGCAACACAAACATTTACACTTGCTTTCTCATACATTTTACAAAAAAATATCAAACGCAAAGCCACCTGTATAACCAACACCATGCTATCGTGCCATCTAATGTGTGGGCAGAGAAACAATGCAGGGCCCTTCTTATAAATACTTAGAGTAATTGAGGGTATGGGATAAAATTGCACGATGCACCTCAATAACAACCCAGACCATACGTCACAGGCCTGTAACGCAACACCTACGTGCCGCTACCCAGATAAAGGCTTCCCCGCGGCCCTAGCAGATTGGTTACCGTCGATAACAGTGCACGTTAATGCAATGCCTAAGTAATGAGTAGTGTGGCATACACTCATGGTCGGAGAGAGATGTGAGCTCCTGAGACCTGACGGTCTTCAATTTCTTAATATACCTCCATGCAAATTATACCTGCCAGGCCGCGTTCAGTTATTATTTATTGAGCCCGTCATAGAAAACACTGCACGCCTATATCACGCTACTTTTACAGTGTTTAGTGTGTTTTTGTTAATGAAAGAATGTGATGACTACAATATTGTCCAGCTCTCCTCTTTTTTGGGATGACAGAATTACATTTGAACACATTCTCACATGCGCTTCAGTTGCCGAGTTTTGGAAAGAATATCCAGTACGAATAACAGCATACCGAACATGATCAACATTATGAATACTGAATATAAGCAGGCAAAGTGAAATGTATCGAATTCAAATTCCAATAGCTATTTTGACTAAAACATTAATTTTATATTGTAACCTAAATGAGTACAAAATATGGGGTTAAGGTACGCCACTCACCACAGTAAATGCAAGTCTCCACTCGCATGCATTACATTTACCTTGATTTAAAATCCCAACGATTTGCAGCAATAGACTCCCAGTTGTGTAGACGTTTACCATTGTGTAATGCATTTCCCCCTGAAACGTCCCCCTGGCATTCTACTTCGAGGACCCTATGTACACAACGTATCCCCCCAAGAGATGATTTAATTCTTTTCGGGTTCATGCCAGATCGCCCTTGCTAATGAAGACTTGTCTCAATACACTTTCTCCGCTGGTTATCAAACAACACCCTTTGCTGTTCTCTTCCACTGGCATCGTAACTCTGCTTGGGTCGACAACAATGACTGCTGAGCAGACGGTTCAACAACGCTGGCCACATCGTCAAGGAGTCCTCAGCAGAATACTTCAGGAATAGAATGTGGAGAACCAGAATCTAAACCTGAACCTGAACCTAAACCTGAACTGGAAAGGGAAGGAGCAGTCACAACGGAGGCTGCTAATGAGGAAGATGAAATTAGACAATCCCATCGGCGTGCAAACTCCGATGCCAACACATGACCCACAGCCCTCCGAGCATGTCAGCACAACACGACCACAAATAGAGCAAACAAATCATTAAAGGACACAAGCCAACATCTTCCAATTCCATTTGGAACACGCCAGGTCACGACACACGTGCTAGACCTAGACACGGCCACACGATGTACGGCTTTGCTTCACGTTGGCACAAATACACGTCCGGCCGACAGACAATGGTCACCGAAAAAGGCCATGAGCAGAGACAAATGAGAATAAATAATGGGAGTCGAAAGTGTAAATAAAGGTCTTTATAGAAGAAATATGCGAGAGCATTCACACAAGTAATTGGCAAATATGAAAGCGTTAAATATGTTGGATTTCCATAATTTACTGCAAATCTGTCCTATACCACAGGACATTTAGCATATCATTATTTGAAAACGCGATGGTCTAATGTTATTTTCATGTTAATTGGGGTGAAATTTCACACATTGTGTGCTCGTACACAAAAAAAGACAACTAACCCCCATATAGCATTAAAGACGAACGGGGAAAGTGGCTTTCGTGATCCATCAAAGCCGGCACGTCGCACAAGGGGTAGGTCTGGCCAGCACCACGCCTTTGTTTCCACACAGTGCTGATGTTTGAACATTGCACCAGGCACTTGTGTAAGATTGAGACGACCTAAGGGAGGCCCAGGACAGGTTCGAATTTCATACTCTCCACTGATTTTAGCCATGTCCTGAATTCAAAGTCAAGTCATTGGGTTCGTAGCACTCGTGGCGCAGATTCACAACAGCACCCCTTCCCCACTCGTACGCCCGTAGGCGAAATTCTCACAGGGGGAGCCGTACCAGTCAAGTTGTCGCGGCATCTTGCGCCACAGATTTTCTCCTTGCCCGTCTCTGGGTCTGCAATTTTGAGCAGTTGCATCACCTCCGTGTGATTGGCCACGGCCGCCCCATACCGTGCGGCCGTCAGAGCGATGGCGATGTTCATCCGCGCGTCGTTGTGCTGCCCTACAGACACAGGAAAGGAAACGGACAGCGCAAAAAGATACCAGGTGGATGTTTGACCTTGCATTTTGTGGGGTTAGAACCATGTTCAAATAATACTGGAAAAACATTAACTTCCTGCTTTACTTGATAGCACAGATATATTTTTGGAATCATAAGTAGCATAAAAAATACACGGTAATAGTATGCAATTGAAATAGATGTGAAGTTTCCCTTTAAGATTGGGCTTGTATGTGATGGTAGCAGAATTAATTATATTCAAGTTCATTTATTAGGTATAGCCCTGTGAGCCATTCGGCTCTTGAATCGGGTGCAACCGCAACAAACGAAAAACAAAAACGTGAACAAAAAACATCTTAAAGTGACTATGTGACTGAGTGCAAACAGAAAATCCAAGAAAAGACAGTAAAATATTGCAGAAAAAGCACCGTACACAAAAATGTGCAAAAATCCCAGTGGGATGCAAGTCAAACAACAACAACCACAAGACAACTTAGATTTAGGCCATCAGTCTAACTCTGTACTTCAACAAACAAACATGGCCAAACCAAAAAACTTATCGAAAATCACCAAAATAAAGCCATAAAAGCAATGAAACAGTCGTCATAGGAACTGTGACCGAATTTTCACGATAAACGACGTAAACAACATGTACTACCAAACTCATGCACTCCACAACAGTAGGAGCATCAGTCGGAGTATCAACATTTTTCGATGCACCTTTAAGATCAGCACACTAAATCAAAACACAGATCAAACTTTGCAGCGATCATCCGGAGCGAAACATTGTATTTTAGCCCATATGCATTTTATAGAGATATCATTTCAATCAAATATCCTAGTTAGCTGCACTGCTGACTGATTATCGTAAAGCAATCAATGACCATAATTGTGTCATCACATTGCGTCTTTTTCTTTGTTTGGCGGCGTACTTTCAAAGCCAAGTACGGTAAAAAAAAATGGCAGCAGTAGCAAAAACAAGAGGATGAGAAATGAACGATTGGACACAGCTGGTGATGAAGAGCAGCGAGTGTACCTGGCAGAGGTGGGACAAAGTCATTGTTATGCAAGTCCAAGTCGAGTCTGAAGTCATCAAATTCATGACTCGAGTCTGACTCGAGTCCAAGTCACATGACTCGAGTCCACACCTCAGAGGTGGGACAAAGTCATTGTTATGCAAGTCCAAGTCGAGTCTGAAGTCATCAAATTCATGACTCGAGTCTGACTCGAGTCCAAGTCACATGACTCGAGTCCACACCTCAGAGGTGGGACAAAGTCATTGTTATGCAAGTCCAAGTCGAGTCTGAAGTCATCAAATTCATGACTCGAGTCTGACTCGAGTCCAAGTCACATGACTCGAGTCCACACCTCTGGTACCTGGGCTGCCAACAGCCCCTCAAGGTGCCCGTAATGTGCCAGGACAAGATGCTCGTTGAGACTGGCCAGCAGGGAGTACTAGTGCCATGGCAATTTGGGCAGAGTCGTCTTGACGGGTGGAGGATCAGCAACCCCCTCCCATGCGGGGGCATAGTGGTTTCTGCTCGCCGCACTTGCCGATCACCCCGCTGTGAAACCCGGTATTGCAGAGTAAGAAATGTAACAGAAGCACAGATGCCATGTGGCCACAAGCAGTGATTGCCAACATTGAATTCTAAATAAAATTGCGTGGAGAAGTTGAACTTACACATTTTGAGGCTGATTAGTTGCGTTTTTTTCTTTCAAAAGTGAATGATTCTGTCTGATCTAGGTAAAATATGACAGCGTTATTTATTTTCTGCCAGAATTTTTCTAAGAAAAAAAGCCATTTTGGCTAAAACCAGAGTCATTGGGCGATTTCACTCCAAATGGTAGAACAAACGTGGAAATAATTGAAATATACAAAATAATCCATGGGAAAATGACGCAATGTGAAGCGACAGCAATCATTTAATAACAAAAACGTTGACACAAATTTAACAAGAAAAAAGATTGTCAAAAATAAAAATTAGTAGTAGGGCAAGGAGAGTGGAATGTCAGGACATGGGACGGGCTTGGTGAAGGTAGGGTTATCATCAGATAGAACTCGCAGCATGTGCACCTGTCACGAGTCATCAGTAGCAGGGGGACACAGAACAGCAAGATCCAAGTGGGGGGGAGAGTCACTGCCTGTCGGCTCCCATTCCCCCTCAAATGCCCACACTCGTTCTATAGAGAAAACCCCTCCGTGGCTCTTATAGGCACACTTATCGGTGAATGTTTTGTAGAAATGGAGTGAATATGGTGAGATGCATGAAAACACCTTTGAAGGCTTACGCTACCTCTAGTTATAAGCAAAAAAAGCACGTCATTTCAATACATTAAAGAGTAACCCTCCTTGGAAACATCAGACAAGCTGCATTGTCGTGATTTTTGCTAGTTTTTTTTTTAAACAATAAACTCTTCCGTGTATCTTTTACCACCCATTCTACTGCCTATTAGTATGTGTGCCTTGGCCACTGCCCTCTCATCTACCAAATCCCCCAAAGACAGCAGGGGACCGGCGGAAGAGTCGCCCGGGGTTACAGTAATCAGAAGTGATGTGCTGGCACAAGCACGGGTTGGGGGGGAGTGCAGTTTACTGGCTGGCTGGCCGGCCGGCTGGACGCCTGGATGGCTGGATGGATGGCTGGATGGATGGCTCAAGGCTCGGCTACGGCTCACTGCGCTGGATGCATTCCCATGCAACCACTGGCCCCTGGTCACCCTCACCTCCCCATAGCCGGCTCCACATCACACCGACAGCACGACCGAACTGAGGGTCACCCAGACCTCGCCCTCCCACAGCCTGAAGGCATCGTCTCATGTGCAATCGAGAGCCTGAAATTTCGCTGCAGGGATGTAGACCTGACTCTCAGGAGGCCGCCACAAAAGCGTTATCACGTAACTTACATTGCTGCACAACCGCCGTACGACCGAAGTAACTCAGTGTAAGAGAGCATTTCTATTTCCGAATCTGTGCAAGTGGCCGAGGGGTGGCACAGTGGTTGTCGCACTGTGTTAAGACCCAGATAACCTGAGATAGGTTCTTGGCCACTGTTAACACAATTGTTGATACATCTGCACCAGTCCTGGGCACCACCATCACACCAATCCGCACTCAACAGCGTTGTGAGGTATGTTTACACAATCCGTATGGGTGTGGGGAGACCTTCATCCAGCAGTGGATTGACAAATGGCTCTAAATCATTACATTTTCATGTATATTAATGAACAGCAGCATACCGATGTGGCCAAGGAAGGACTTTTAATCAGTTCATATCACCTGCTCTAAGATATGAATCAGAAACATGAACATTGACAAGGAAATTGAAGCAAGAGCTCAAGCGGCCAAAGAACCATGGAGAGATGCATACACATCGTACAAGTAAGTGGGCTTGGGTAGGACACGTCTCTCGAAGGGTTGATGGCCGATGGGCAACATTAACGATAGTGGCAGTCAGAGGACGGAACACACCTGACAGTACATCCACCGCAAAGATGGGGAGTGATAAAATCAGCTCGTTTGCAGCTGCTAGGTGGATCACTAATAACTGCAGGACCATAAGAGATGGTGATGGCTGAGGGATGCATTCATCCAGCAGTGAATTGCTAATGGCTGATGCTGATGGTGAGCATTGTGCCAGAATATTCGCACAACAGTTTCAAGATACACCCGATTCATTACCACTGATTTCAAGCACACATACATACATGAACAAATGCAGCTTGATCTGTGCTACATTCCAAGCAAGAATCAAGGCAAACCCATGGCGAAGGCGCAGACCTGCAGTAATAGATTAATTGCGGACAAGTTGCAGGCACACACACACGCACAAAGGGACAAACGTGCCCAACAACAAATTGGAAGGGTTTGGCAGCGGTCTTGCGGCACCATGGCAATTTAAAACAAACTTTCAAATGGAATCTGCAAATGCACGATTGTGTGTTTCACAGACAGCCACTGAGAGAGCTTGTTGTTTAACAAAAAATATATACAGATATTTGGGTGCTCATTGTACTCAAGTTATCTCCAAGAATGTATGAAAATAAAAAGATGTTCTGCTATTTAAAAGTAATATGTAAACAAATGTTGTGTACAGTCCACTCTTATTTAGACTTATAGGATAGTCCATATTCTAGCATAATACAATGATGATTTGGTTCACAGCTTTTTGTCAATCCACTGCTGCATGAAGGTCTTCTCCAGGATGTGTTTGGTCGTGGCAAGTCTTTGTCCAGACTTCATCAGGGTGGTGAAAGGAAACTAGCACCGTTTCTAGACATAATTGGACACTCATTTTAGCCATGGCCGGGAATCAAACTCAAGTCACCGGATTCACGGCACAGCGTGCTCTTCAAATCGACGAATGCTCCATCCCCTGCCAGAATAAACCTTCGACAAACTTGCAAACTCCTTGCCAATGGAAAATATTAACTTAACTCGTTCGGAGCTGGACTAACACCATAATTCCCTCACAAAATCCTCTACACCAACAATGCAAATGCCGTCACAGCAAAATTGCTGTGACGGTTTCACCTGAAGACGGAAGCTTGTGTTGCCTCCGAAACGTCGTGATTTAATTTAATTGTTTTATTTGTTAACCTACGTGACTTTACCGAAAAAAACAAAGAGTATGAATCCTTGCAGTCACGAAAGCTTCAAATCTAGAATGCAAATGCGGATCGAGCCTTACACACGAAACGCATGCAAAACTACACAAGACTTTCTCAATACATTTTCAGAGTATTTATGTAAGTTTTTAAATAGATTTTGATGCATATAAATGCAAAGACAAAAATACACCAAACCCTTGCCTATTGCGAGGGTTACGTTCTTGAAAGTACCCGTAATCGGAAAATCCGTGAAACGCAAACTGAGAGGCGAACAGGAAACTAGGGTTTGGTTCACGGTTTATAATACGACAACCCACACCTTTTGTATTGCCCTACATTAACCTAAAGAAGAAAGTGGAAGTATCGTTCATTTAAAATGAGGAATTTGTTCT